TCCTTAGAAAGCATCACAGTGCTTGGCACAGTACACTTTACACATGTTAAAGATTAGGAGTCTAAAAGTACAGAGAGGGGAAGTGCCTTGCCCAAAGCCACACAGCTGATGAATAAAGGAACCGGGCTTGGAACCTGGGTTTATCTGCCCTCACACCCTGAGCTTCCACACTGGAACGCACTCCCTGATGGCAGCTATTAGTATTGTATAGTACTATCTGTTCATTAAAAAAACAAAAACAAAAAAAAAAAAAAAACGAAGGTGGATGATGAACATTCAGCAGTTCCCTATCAGTAGGATCTATTCCAGGGAGCTTTTTTCTGGAAAGCACTTAGGAAGCTCTACCCCAGGCCCCTCCCAGCATAGCCATTTAGAAGCTACCTCTTTTCCTGCAGAGGGTGGTGGGAGTCAGCACCACCCCTTTCTTCCAGCTCCTAGCCAGCTGCATTCCTGAGGCTGGAGAGGAGGACCTTGGCCGACTACACTCCCGGAGGCTGGCTGTGGCCTGGGGCAGCTTGTTGGAGGGATACAAACAGGGAAAGAAGGAAGACCCTTGCAACGGGGCCAGGTCCTAGATGATCAAGACCATATTCTTCAACCCCCTCAAAGGACGTTCCTAGGATTTTCCAATTTATTCTATGAAAATCATTGCAAAGATAAACAAATTCAATCATGCTCAGTTGTGCATTTAATGAACTGTCATTTTTGGGGGGGAAATGATTGCAAATTACATATAAAAAGAAACAATTCAGAAACAAAAATCAGGGAGGTCATGATTAAATATTTAAAATGCAGACTGACTTGGAAAAGCTCGGTTGTAAGGTTCAGGATGCCTCCTGGGGAAAGCACCTGGGTCTTCGTGCATCCTCCATCCATCCATTCACACATCAGGCTCCCTTTTATTGAGCACGTATTATGTGCCAGGGAGAACTTTCCCTGAGAATCTCACAGCCACTCAATGCCAGAGATGTGGTCATAGTTCCCATATTTAGAAAATGTTTTAAAAATGTTTATTTGTTTTTGAAAGAGATAAACAGAGAGAGACAAAGTGCGAGCTAGGGAGGGGCAGAGAGACAGGGAGACAGAATCCAAAGCAGGCTCCAGGCTCCCAGCTGTCAGCACAGAACCTGATGCGGGGCTCAGACCCACAAACCGTGAGAGCATGACCTGAGCCGAAGTCAGACGCTTCACTGACTGAGCCACCCAGGCGCCCCTAGAGTTCCCATTTAAAAATATATCAGCCGAGGCGCCGAGAGTGGCAGCAGCTGGCCCATGGCGGCATAGTTAGGAAGTGGCTTCTGACATCCCTCTGAGGGCTGACTTTAAAAGGTTCTGAAGAGGGGCACCTGAGTGGCTCAGTCGGTTGGGCATCCAACTTCGGCTCAGGTCGATCTTACGGTTTGTGCGTTTGAACTCTCAGTCAGGCTGACAGCTCAGAGCCTGGAGCCTGCCTCGGATTCTGTGTCTCCCTCTCTCTCTCTGCCCCTTCCACACTCACACTCTGTCTCTGTCTCAAAAAATAAATAAACATTAAAAAATAATTTTTTTAAAGTCCTGGAGAGCCAGACATGAATGAGGAAGGGCCCCTGTCCTTGAAAAGCTCAGTGTCTAATCGTCCGAAAATTTATGAAGAGCAAGAGGTCACCCCTTCTAGTGATTTCAAATTCTTTGTCAGCGAAGGCCTCATGTGAGACACCATTGTACAAAACGGATGACAAGGGACCTGTGTCTGGCGAAAGCTGGGAGGGAGACCTCGGCCTCTCTTCCCCCTTCCTTAGGCCCTGAGGGACAGGACTGCAGGCCCAACTGGAAACCCAAACGTGTCATTTTACAGACAGGAACGCGGAAGCCGGAACCTGTGGACTCCCGATTGGGGGCTGTTTGCTCTGCATTCGTGTCCCTGGGGCGCCAGAGTGCGGACCCTCACCCCAGGAATCCAGTGTCCGGTGACAGGGCTGCGCAGTGCTGGCCACACTCTGGCCACTTTGGGTCTTTCAAGCCAGTTCAACGTTTTTTTCCTGGATGTCAGAGAAAAACAAAGCCTACGAGCCCCTTGGAGAAGAGGTGAATGTGTTCAAAAGAACCATTTTTACGAGAACCCCAGACACTGGGGGGGTTGAAAGTTCACACCCCGCTCTCCAACCAAGACTCGGACCCAGTCCGTGGTTCTTCCTCAGTTTCCCCATCTGTAACATGAGGTGGCTGGATTACATGATTCTCTACAAGGCTCCTTCCAGAATGAGTAAATGGGGGAATCTAGAACCTTCTGGGCTGGGCCACTTCTGGGTTTGTGAGACCCCAGTGAGTCAATGGTGGTCGTAACACCCTGTTCCCTCCCTCCTGAGGAGTGCTGACCCTCGGCCATACCCCTCTCAACATTTTCTCCCTTTCCAAGCCTCCTCATCCTCACCTCCTTCCAGAGTGAAACCTTCTCCATTTCCTGAGAAGCCCTGACCCGGTTCCTTGCTTGCTTTCATCCGAGAATCGCCAAAGGGATATCAGAGGCCATTTGTGCAAGGCTCTCACTGTACAGGGGGAGACACTGAGGCCAGAGAAGGGAGGGACTGCCCCAGGGTCACCCCATGAAGGGGAGGCCCTCTTCTTGCAAAACCCAGATCACCTCCGCTTGTCCAGAGCTAAGCTCTTGGGGGTTCTTAACTTTTGCCAAGTGCTTTTTGCCTCTACACTTAGGACCGTGTTTCCTGATGTTGGGATGTCCGAGGTCCTCAAGGAGACTGAAGGCGTTCATCCTGGCCTTCAACACCCCTGCTGGTTTATGGGGGGGGGCTGGAATTGGGGGGGAGGTCCCTTTCCTGTTCTCTTTCAACTCTTTTGATCACAACTTGAGTCTCAGCCTGTAGTTCCTGTGTCTTTAACACCTTTCTAGGCCTTGTTAATCTCCCTTTACAAGAGAGCGGGGCCTTGGGCTCAGCACCTCCTCAGGCGACAGTATTTTGTTGGAATTTTTTTTATGGTGGTTAAATATACATTGTTAGAATTTAATAACGCCGTTTTATTTTCATTGTATTTATTTTTATGGGACCTTCTATTTATAGGCATGTGATGCTGGCTTTCCATTTATGGTAATGATATCACATTTCATTGTAAAAACAAACACATTGATGTAAAACAAAATCACAAAACAAGAGTTGATTTAAAGAAAGCTATTAGGGAAACAGCCTTATCTGGTGCACAGATTCTCAGCAGAGGCCTGAGAATGGCTGAGTTCTGGGAAAAGCTCACTTGGGACCGAGACCACCCTTCCCAGCCGGCTCTGTCCTCACTCACGTCCCTGGGCTCCCCCCCGCCCCCCACGTAGGCCCTCCTGCCTGCTTCTGCCAATCCCCTAGACCCTCAGAAACTCCATCCATCCCTCCTGCTGTCTGTGGCCTCCACCTCCAGGCCCCGACACCCTCACTATAGACTCAGCCTTTTTCCTCTTTAAATTTATGTGGCGCCTTGCGTCCAAGGAGGCCCACACAGACAGCCCTTTCCAACAGCATTCCATAAACGCAGAGCCTGTGGGGTTTCTCAGCGCCAAGGGTCAGCCTCCCCCAACCCTCCTTTGGCAGCTGAAGGGGTGAACATGGAGGCTGAATCCCTTTAGAGTTTTCCTTGTCTTTGTTTTACAGAAATTGGGCTATTAGAGATGTTCTCCCCTTGGTTTAAGCATTACTCGCTCCGCGTCCATTTGAAAAAGTGGATCCTGGTTTTATTTCCCCCAGTTATACCTCTGCTCTATTAGCGCCCCCCCCAGCCCCCCAGCCCCCCAGTTTACCCTGAGACTCAGCGAAAGGGTTGAAAGGATCAGACATCCTTCAAGTCCTTAGAGGGATGTATCCTTTTCCTGGAATGTGGACGGGGGAAGGCAGTGGTTTTCTGCCCTGGAAACTCTGTCCCGCCGCCCAGCATTACCAACATTCATGTTCAAGACTGCTATAGGTTCAAAGCCTATCAGTCACTCACTCCCTAGTGGGAATCAGCTGACCAAGGGGATGCGGTGCTTCAGTGTGTTTAAACGGGGCCCTCAGGCACTGAGTGTGGAAGCTTTGGAGTTGGGACTCAAAAAAGAGCTCCCCAGGGAAGAGGAGTAGGGCATCCGATAGACTCTCTCTGCGGCGACAGGGGGTGGTTCCGAGCACTTTCACCTGAGCTGTCCCCTTTGATCTGCTTGCTTGTGCATTTTGTCTGGGGCTGGAGGGGTGGGTTGCTGTCTCAAGGAGGAGGTTCAGAGGTTAAGTGTCTCAGCGAAGTCATGTGTCAGGCGCTGGGGAGGGGGTGTGTGGCTGTGGCCGCAGAACAAAGATGAAAAGATAAGTCCAGCGATTGGAGACCCAGGTCTGGCCTCTCGCAATCAAGTTATTTGCATCGGGCCTGGGTTCAGCCCCGCCCCCTCCTCACCACTGCCGGGGGCCTCTATTATATGCAACAATCCAAAGCAGCCCTTGCAGGGGTGGGGGGGACGGTGAATCCCCCTGGCTTTCAACAGGTCCTCCAGGACAGCGGGAAGCCCAGGAAGAGAAGCGAGGTCCCGAGGGACCGTCATCCCTCCTCTAGCCCTGCAGTCGGTTATGGGGGTTGGGGGTAGCGTGAAAGTTTCCGCGGAATAAATACTCCGGGTCGAGCATGCCACTCTCCCTACCTCCCCAACCGACCTCTCGAATTCAGAAGAAGCGAGGGCCCCAGCGCCGAGCGCAGAGGCAGGCAGGGGAGGAAGGGAAGGGAGCAGGGCTGAGGGTGGCCCCAGGGCCCCGGGGCGAGGCCTGGATGCTGCGACGCAGGCGGAGACCGAGGCAGGGAGGAGGCGCGGGGCAGCCCGCCTGAGGAGACGTGCCTTCTCGGCGGCCGCCGCGGCAGCGGTGGCGGCGGCGACTGGAGACAGGCGGGGAGGAGGTTTGGGGAGGGGAGGGAGCGCGGGGGAGAGGGAGGGACGGAGCGGTGGCTGGGAGGTGGGGCCGGCGGGCGGGCGGGCGGCTGCAGCTGCCGCCGGCGTCTCGGGGGCTCCAGGCTGCGGGGTGGACGCAGCGCCGAGCGATCAGCAGCGGAGCCGCGCGAGGCCGCCCGAGCCCCGAGCCCGCGCCACCGTCGCCTTGAGCCAGCCGGTCCCCGGACACGCCGCCGCCGCCGCCGGGAAGGCAGCCGGCGCCGAACAAGTTGCGAGCGCGCCTCTCCGCCCGGGGAAAGTTTCCCCCGCGGCCGCCGGCGGGAGTTGGTTGGGGTCCGGCTGCTGCTGCTGGAAGGTAGGGGGCTCCGCACCTCCGTGCCCTCTGTGCGCCCCGCTGCTGCGCCCCCGGGGACTTGGAGACCCTACGCGCGCTCCCCGGGCGACTGTTGAGCACGGTCCGGGGTGGGGAAGGAATGCGGGAGGGATCCCAGAACGGTCCGGGGGCAGCCCAGAAACCAAGTTCTACTTAAACTAGCCTGGGGAGGGGACAGGGGAGACGTGCTCACCCCGATTCCCGCCCGGATCCCTGCCCGGAATCCGCGGGCTAAAGCTTCCCCCCCGACAGGTGCAGCCCCAGTCGGCGCTGGGCGCTCCGGGTGGGTGAGTGGGGGGCGCCAGGAGGGCGGCGGGGGGTGGCAGCTGTGAATAACAAGGTTGGGGGGTCTCAACGGAGGTTGCGCCCCAAGAGCGGGGGTGCGCACCACGCCGCTCGGTAGGAGGTCAGGTAGGGACTAGGGATTAGGAGCGAGGACCCGGCTGGAAGATTGTCCGGCCCAGCCAGGACACAGAGCACGAGCCGCCTTTGGGGTCCCAACGGTGGGGCGGGGCGGGGGCGCCAAGCTTTCCTCCCGGGTCCCCCTGATCCCACACGCGGAGTGCGCGGTTTGCGGAAGGGAAGCACAGACTCCGTGGGTGCTCGATGGGTCCGAGCCTCCGGCACATCCAGATTTAGGGGGTGTACTAGGAATCCTCTGGGAGGGTTGCTCGGCGGCTCGGGTGGGCTCGCGCCAGCTTTGGATCCCCGCTGGATTGAGGTGAGGTGGCCCCCGCCAGGGGGAGCCATTCCCCGACCCTTTCACCCACAGGAAGGCGAGTCCTGGTTCCTGCTAGACAAACGCCCCGAAATCCGGGACCTGGAACCACAGACCCTCCAGCCCACGCCGGGATCCCGCGCCGAGGAGCACCTCCGGCCGGGCCAGGCGGCGGGGCAGAGGCCCCAGCGTGAAGCTGGGGCGCGCCGTGTGTGGGGAAGCTCGGTGGTCAGGAGGCCCGAGATCTTGGGGATCACGCAGAGTGTACGGGCGAATAAAAACATTCACCCTTCCCCCTACCCCAAGAAAAACACAAACGGAGAGAAACTTTACACTAACAGCGAATTGGTGTAGAGAAAGAGAAGACAATGAACTTGTTGAGATTTCTCTGGAGTCTGAAACCCATCTTGCTGAATGCACCCTTTTTGTAAAAGTTAGACCTTTGTTTCCTGGATCTGGCCCCATCCCTACCTGGTGTGGGCTGCCTGGGGGTCTCATCCGTCCTCTCCGTGGGCACAAGGAAGCTGGGTGGCACAGGACTGGGGTGATGAGGGCCCCTTAAAGATTGTAGCAGTCCAGGCTGAAGTGGGCATTTCTGAGCCATTAACAAGAGCCCCTCTCCCCTGGGTCTGGGTCTACAGGCCACATTCATCTGGTCTTTTCACAGTCGGTGGAAACCTGCTGGAGGTCCCGTGTTTTGTTGTTGTTTTTTTTGACCTCAGGGTCCCTGTGTGTTGAGTCTGCGTACCTGTGCCCAGGCCTTGGGAAGTGAGAAAGCTGCTGGCATCTACCGTGAGCACCCTATCTGCCATATGTGTGCCTGTTCGACATTGAAGGGAGCCTGGAGGGACTGTTGCCGTATCGTTCTCTCTAATTTCCTCCCTCCTCTCTGCACCCCAAGAGAGAACAAATGAGCAGATCAAAGAACTGGGGTGGCTTAATACTGGCCGTGGGAAGTTTTCATTTTTCTCTTGGTTAGAAACGTGTGCTCCTTGGACAGCCTCCTCCCCTCTTCTGTCCCCAGAATCCCCTGCAAAGGTGCCAGAGATGGGGTGGACCTGGGAAGAGAGTTAGTTGAGGTTCTTGCTTTCCATATCGCCTACCAGATGTTTTTGCTGGATGTCACCAAAATGCTGTAGGACGGAGGTGCCATAAAGAAAGATCAGCATGATTATTTTGAACAGACGGGGTTGGGGGAGGAGACAGAGGAAAGGGTGGAGAAGCCCATGTCTCTGGGTATATCTTTAAGACATTCCAGAAAACAAAAGGAATTTTTCGTTTTGTTTTGTTTTTAGTGGCTCTTGTTTTTCTGCGGAAGAAAGCCTGCCCAGAGCAGCCCTGGCCTTGGGGCCCCTGACGGCCTGCAGCTCCAGTGCTGTGCCCCTTCTTTCCGTCCCCTACTCACAACCCACCCCACTTGCCTTAAACAGAAGGGGGACTTGAGACTCCAGGCCTCTGATGTTTGTGTTTGGATTTAGCATATCATGTGCATAAACTCCAAGATCTCTGATTCGGCAAAATTTTAAGTCTTGGAAATCTGGTCTCCTTATCTCCCTGTCCCTAAACCCATTGAAACGCTGCTTCTGGGGACCTCTTTACCCAGCCTGAGGCTGAAATGGCAGTCTATTGGGGCACTTTCTAGAAGCAGAAGTTCATCTGGAGTTGGAGGTAGGATACCCTGGGCCATTTAGGAAGTAAGTGGTCCCTGCACCTTTAAGAAAATTCCGTGCCAGCTTGGAAAGAGCTACTGAGTTACTGAATGAGGTTTTTGTGGTCTGGGGGTGGGTTGGAACACAGAGTGCTGGGAAGGGACAGGTGGGGAAGGGGGTGTGAAGGCAAGGGATGATGGCAGGGATCTGCGGGAGGGGGTAAGGAAGGGAGGAAGCAGCAAGGTTTGGGATCTCAGTGGGGCTGCTCGGAAATCCAACTTTTCTGGATCGTCAGTGCGACTTTGGGCAAGTCATGTTCCCTCTCAACCCTGTCTTCCCAGTCTGGAAAATGAATGTGTGGGCAGGCTTGCCGCTTAAAGGCAGGAGAGTATAACTTTTTAGGGCAGGAGGCAGCTCAGGCCCTGCCCCCAGTTCAGTGGAGGTCACCTCTCCTGCTGTCTTGCCCCAGCCCACCGCTCCCCTGCACAACATAACGAACCAGGTTCCCTGGTTCAGATTGCTGAACCCTCTGTCAGATTGCTGTTTTTGCACAGAGACAGTGATGTCAGTGGCCTGTGCCCGCTGGGAGCCCCGAGTCTGTCTGGGAGCTCATGTGTTGCCGTTCTCCAGATGCTTGTCCAGCCCTCGCTCTCCATCCCTGAGAGGAGCACATGTTGGTGGCTGGGCTGCCCCTTGTAGGGACCCCGCTTTCCAGAGGGCTTGCTCTTCTAGCCTGTTTCATGAGTTGAGAGAAGGAAAATCAGGACCATTTGTTCGTGCTCAGCTGGTACACAGCGAAGGGAGGGGGCCTTGGAAGCCAGCACTCTGGGCCCCCGGAGCAGATGATCGGGCGATCGGTTATTTCTGCAACCTGATCCCATCGAGCAAACCTGCCAGCTTGGGCTCCTCCTGCTGCACGAGCTGGCATCTTGGACCCGAATCGCGCTTCGATCTGGCGGGGGCGTGCAGATAATGAAAGTCTTTTTTAAAAAGAGAGAAAGGGGTGGTGAGCCCCAACGTGTGCAGCTGCCAAAGTAGGTCTTTCCTGTCTACACTTTTCTTAGAGTCAACCTTGCCCCTTGTCTGCACCCCAGGCTGATGGTTTAATTAGCGAATTGAACAACCTGGAGATGGGCAAAAACCACGTTCACTGGTCGTGTGCGTGCGTACATACTGGGGGGCAACAGGGTGGTGTGGGAAGGTTACTGAACCTCAAATAAGGAGACTCCTGTTGGAGCCCTGATTCTGCTGCAAATCGGGCTGTGTGACCTCAGTGAGTCACTGCCCCTCTCTGAGCCTGTTTTGCTGTTTCTTCAGAGGCAGCCTTGTGCGGTGGTTGGGCTGCCTGGGTTTGAATGTTGGCTTTCCCCTTCTGATCAGCTGTGTGACCTCAGGCCATCCAGCCTTTGGTGCCTCAGTCTCCTGATCTGCAAAATGGGACTTATAAGACCTCATCAGGTTATGGTGACGAGTCCATGAGACAAGCATGCAGAACACTTAGGACAGTGCTGTGCGTGCCGTCACTGCTCAAGAAAGTTCACTATCACCGCTGTCTTTACGTGAAATGGGAGGGGTCCGTTTCGATTCCTACCAGCTCTGATAGTCTGTGACTTGGTGTGTGTGTGTGTGTGCACGCGTGCACGTGCGCTTTGGGAATGGAAGGCAAGGGTGAATAAAATAAATCGCTTTTCCCCCCTTCCTTCCCCTCACCCACTGAGGGACCCCTGAGTTAAAATCTTGTGAGTATTCTCATGATCGCTCCATCCCCATGGCAGGAAGCCCAGTTTGACGTCACTGAAAATGTCCCAGTTTCTGGCACTTGAGGGATGATATTTCATCAGCTAGTATTTGCCCATCCTTCCCCTTCGTTCCTTTGTTTCCCACCCTAAACCATAGTATGAAGACCATATGTGCAGAGTTTAAGCTGATAAACAACTCCCAGATTCACCCAAATAAAAGGCCGTCTTGCTAGAAGACACTTTTGAATTTAAAATAACTAACCTAGCTTCTCTGCTCTGTTGCATTATGTCTGGCGGACCCTGTTTCCCTCTTTGCATTCTGCCGCTTGGTCTGCTGTGGCGACACGGGCCGGGCTGCCCTCCCCCTCATCCCCTCCAGCAAGGCTGGTGCTCTGAGCCACCCCAGGGAGGGTCTCCGCGGTGGCACCCATGTTGCGAGTGCTCACTATCAGCCGGGAGCTAGACGATGCCGTCTCACCCCCACCCATGAGGCTGGTTCAGATACTGTCCCCATTTCACAGAATACAGAGCAAGGCTCAGACAAATCAAACGAGCAGATGGTAGTGCGGGGATTTGAACCTACGTCAATCTGATTGCCCATCCAGCGCTCCAGACCACTGTGTGAGACTTCCTCTTGCGTCAGAACCTCCTGTGAGCTCCAAAATCCCAGGCAAGACACCTTCAAGATGCCATCAGGCCGTCTCCTCCCTGCTTTTGCCCATCTCCCAGGCTCAGTGCCTTAGGAAATCCTTCTTTTCACCCTGCATGCATTTTCCAGCCAATCTAGGCACAGGGAAAGGGAGGAGTTTGGGGGCAAGAGGGTAATGACCTTACCAAGCAACAAAAGGGTGTTCCTGGAAGATGATGCGTATTGGA